TTTTTTTTTTTTTTTTTTTTTTTTTTTTGGTGTATGTTTATGTGTGGGCATGGGTTAAGGTCAGAAGACAGCTTGAAGGAGTTGGTTCTTTTCCTCTATTATTTGGGTTCTGAGATCAAACTTAGGATTGTCAGACTTGGCAGCAAGTGGCTTTACCACGTAAGCCATTTTGCCTGTCCTAGTCTCCCCCCCCCCTTTTTTTTTTTTTTTTTTTTTTTTTTTTTTTTAAAATAAAAAATTATGTCTCTGTGTAACACTTCTGGGGAGATGTGAACCAATGTCTACTTACTCCAGATAGGGAACTGACAGGCAGATCAAAGATACCAGCAAAGTCCACTGTGTTATATTGGGTTATTTACAAGAATATGGATGAGATGTTATTTACAGGAGCAGAAATGACTCAAAAACAGCTATTTGCAATTGTTCTGAACTTTTTCCAAGCAGCTCTGCTTGTCTGAGAGTCTTCTGGGCAACTTGGCTGATTTCTTTCAGGTGGCTTTGGTCTGAGAGTGTCTCTCAGGAGTCTTCAGCACTTAATTTCTCTGAAAAGGTAGGAGTCTAGGGTACCTGGTTAGTTTCAGGGACTTCCTGAAGCTTTTAGATCGTTAGCTTCCCCGAAGAATACTCCCTTTAGGATACTGTGTTTTAAGATCTCTCCAACATGCAGGTTTAGTTTGGAGGGAATTGTTGCACACTGCTATCAAACTACTGAATCTTTGAGCATGTAGTATTGAATTGAAAGACTGCATACTAGCAAAAAAAAGTAATGGTTAAAAATAGTAAAATTAGGGGCTGGAGGGATAACTCAGCTGTTAAAGGCTAGGCTTACAACCAAAAATATAAAAATAGTAAAATTGGAATCTATTCAAGTCTTGAGATTCCTATTTATTTTTTTCTGTGTGGGAGTGTGTGTGTATGACAGAGAGAGAGAGAGAGAGAGAGAGAGCGAGAGAGAGAGAGAGAGAGAGAGAGAGAGAGAGACAGACAGACAGACAGACAGACAGACACGGGTGAGTATTTAAGTATGAAACAGTCCAAGCAGAATACAAACTTTGAAACTTCAGCTCTTCATAGTTTGCTAGCATGAAACTGAACCTTTAGTATGTCATGATTGGAATTTTATCTTAAATATAAAATGGTTAATGTTTTTGGTGATTGATGGTTGGTTGTGTTTTTGAGTAGAACCAGCGAGTATGGCACTACCTCCCCTTTTTCTTTGAGACAGGATCTTACTCTGGTCCAGGCTAGCTTTGAACTCAATATGTAGCTTAGACTGGCCTTGGAGTCTAATCCTAGCACTCTGGTTACTGAATATTTATAAATACTTACAAAAACTTACAAATATTCAGTATCCAGAGTGCTAGGATTATTAGGCCTGATCTTATGTCCAACTTGAATTTAATCTCTAGTTCCCTCCCTTCCTTTTTTTTTTTTCTTTTCCTTGCACCCTCCTTCCTTTTTTCCTAGACATGGTCTAATGGACTTGCCTCAAACTCTGTGTAGCTTTGGATGACTTTGAACTCTTCATCTTTCTGTCTCCACCTCCTGAGTGCTGGGAATACAGGCATGTGCCACCTCCTCTGGTGTGTAAAGTATTAGGGATCAAACCAGGACCTTGTACATGCTGGGGAGGCACCCTCCTAATGGAGTTACATCTCAACTCTGAACTCAAGAGATCAGTATGTTTTAGACCTGATTTTAGATATATTTATTTTTATTTTATGTGTGTGGGCGTTTTGTCTGAATGTAATAATGTATGTATATCATGTTTGTGCCTGATGTCCAATGAAGTCAGAAGAAGGTATTAGGCCCCTGGAACTGGATTACTGTGAAAAGGCCATATGACCCACAGGCTGAGAACTGCTGCTCTAGCTCCTGTGTTTTAGAGGAGTTTTCAGAACTATTTTGCTAGATTATAAAGACTGTTGGTGTTAAAAATATTATCTTATTGTACTGATTTGTTTTCTAAAAGCCTTTCTTTTAATTCTTTTGGCTTTTATTTCTGAAACTTACCCCTTGGAAAGTAAACCTTAGAAAATACAGTCATTTACCGTAGTGGCCAATGAATGAAGAAATCATTTGGTGTACAAGTTGAAGACTTCTGTTTCTCTAACCCTTTTTACAAATAGCAGCACTTTTGAAATAAATAAAAAAATTTTCTGTGGGATTTTAAAATAAAAAATGAATCTGTCAGATTGCCTCTTAAACTGTTGTCGCTGGGAATTAATTCTAGGGCCTTTTACATACTGAGTGCATACTCTTGTCATTGAGGTGCACCCTGAATCCCAGAAATATGTTTTGAAAGCCAGTGACACTTGAGGCTATTGTTAAGAGGTCTGTTCCTCAACTTTTAGGAAAATTTAGAGATATTAAAAATGTATTTAAGTGTTTCCTATTTTGATAGTATTTATGAGTATGAGTAAATAACTATTATACAGAATGTTTTAATGCTCTTAAAGTTTTTAAAAACTAAATAAAAAGTATTTTATGTGTAGGGGTATTTTTCCTGCATGTATGTCTGTGGACCATGTATGTGCCTGTGTGGACATTGTATGTCTCTGACACCCATAGAGACCAGAAAAGGCATTGGATCCCTTGAGACTGGAGTTAGAGATGATTGTGAGCTGCTTTGTAGGTGTTCAGAATTGAACCAGGTCCTCTGCAAGAGTAGCCAGTGCTCTTTAATTATCCACTGAGCCATCCCTCCAACCCCCAAATTGTGTGTGTTTTAAGTGGAAACCTTGGTTTGGCTTGAATAGCCACTTATTAATGAATGGGCAGAGTGGTATGTAGTCTAGTGTGTAGCTTTTTTGGTAGGTACTTATGTATAAGTCAACAGTTATATTGAAGCTCTTTCTCTTGCGTGGTCTTGAGTGTGATGCTGAGATATAACATTTCAAACAAGAAATGTGAAGAGTTAGAGGGAGCATGCTGTGTAGTGGGAGAGAGTCAGTACACAGAGCAAGGCAGAGTATCTGAAAGCAAGGAAATGATGTTTGAGCGGGGAGATGGGGAGCTGTCCAGAGCTTAGTGGAATTTGATTGATTGCTTTGAACAGTGAGCAGAGCTTTGAAGGTTGTATTTTGGGCATTAGAAAGAACTGGGGAAGATGAAGACAGTAAATAATTGGGAAATGAATTGTCAAGTGATCAGTCCAGGTAGTGTTCAGTGCACTTTCATGGGGAGAATAAAAGGAACTAAGACTGGTTTGGACAGATAATGACTGGGCTAAATTAGAGAACTGGGAAGTTCTTTAGGAGAGTTGTTCTCAAATATAGATTAGAAAGAATTTGAAGGCTGGCGGGCCAGAGGTTAGAGATTATTGCATTGCTGGGTTTATGAGGGATTACTTCAAATATCTTCATATCTTATCCTAGATGTGCTTCCTGGCAGTCTTCCTTTCCCTGCCAGATTAAGATTTGCCTGGCCAGATGTGCTCTTGTGGTATAACTATATTGTTTCAACTGCCTTTTTTCTTTAGTGTTCAGGGCAGCAAAATGGCTCAGCAGGTAAAGGGGCTTGCTGGCAAGCCTGACTACCCAAGCTCAGTCCGAGACTCAAGTGGTAGAAGGAGAGAACTGACCTCTACATGTTGTTATTTGCCCATCTTAGTGTGTGTGTGTGTGCGCGCGCGCGCGCACACACACACACACACACACACACACACACACAAAAGTAAGAAAATCTTGTGAACCTCAATTTGCAGCCCTTTGTTAATCATAGGTCTAAAAGTAAGTGATCTGAATGCTGGGTAGCTCAGCAGCATATCATTGGTAAAAGGTTTGCAGTTGTTTTACTTTAGCCTTTGGCTGAATTTGTCTTTTGTGGAAGTAGGCATTTGTTACTTTAGATTTTCTAATTTCCAGATGACTACAGACATCAAGATGTATTTTACAGAGTTTAGATGGTAACTATCCCTGCACCCCACATCATCTAGGCATTGGTGGCACACACCTTTAATCCCAGCGCTTGGGAGGCAGAGGCAGCAGTTCTCTTTGAATTCGAGGCCAGCTTGGTCTACGATTTCCAGGATAGCCAGGACTGTTAGACAGAGAAACTCTTGTCTGGAAACACCCCCTGTCCCCCCCCAAAAAAAACCCCGAAAAACAAACAAATAAACAAACAAACAAACAAAAGAAATAGATAGCCAGCACTCACTCATTCTCTTTCTCTGAGACAGGGTCTCATTATGTATCCTTGACTGCCCCAGAGTTTGATATATAGGTAGACCAGGCTGGTCTCAAACTCACAGAGATCGTCTGCCTTCTTGAGTGCTGGGACTAAATGGCTGTGCCATACCAGCCTGGCAGAAGCAGCTCTCTTAAAGCAAGTTGAAAATGGTAGCTGATGGAGAGTTGATAAGTTTTTCCTTTCCTTGAACTAGTTCTGCAGTGAATGCTGTGCCTTCTTGTACACAGTGAAGTTAAGGCGTGTATTTGTGTTTGTTGAGTGACGAGAGAAAGGAAGGCAGGTTTCTGTGACCTAGGAAGTACTGCTCTGACTGTGTTAGTGCTAGGACTCGGGAGAAGCTTTTCTATGTTTTGCTATGAATAGTGGTTAGGTTTGCAGCCTGTAAAATGAAAAGGTAGTTACAGTTCAGATTTTTTTCATTTGTATTTGTGTCAGATATTTAGAAATATGCACTGTTAATTTTTAATTTTTTATTTGTTTGTTTGTTATATCTGAGACAGGGTTTCTCTGTGTAGCTTTGGAGCCTATCCTAGAACTAGCTCTGTAGACCATGCTGGCCTTGAACTCACAGAGATCTGCCTGCCTCTGCCTCCCGAGTGCTGGGATTAAAGGCAAGCACTACCAGTACCCTGCACATTGTTAATATTTAAGAATTGACTTAACACGTCTGTTTTACCTTGGGTCACAACTTTTTTTTGTAAGCCAGAAAATGCAATTATGCTGTTCAGTTTCATTAGGTGAACAAGCAATGGCTGAAAGCTAGGGAAGATTAAACCTTTGCAGCATAAGAAACAGTGTAGAAAGAATTTCTGATCCTTTAAATATTTGCTTTTGTTGTTTTGGTACATAGAGCCGATCATCGGATGTACATTCATCAGGATCTTCAGATGCACATGTAAGTATAAACGATAGCATTTCTCTTTTTTCTTTAAAAAATACAATTTCTTTTTACATGCTAAATGAATACAGTTTATTGTGTCAACATATAATTGTGTCTGCTTTTGTGTTTTGTTTATATAAACTCAAATTGCATTAGAAACTTGACATGTGTATTTTGTTTTTTATTGTGCTTATAAGATTCTGTGTACATAAATGTGTTTGTTTACATATTGATTGCCTTATATACACCTCTTTCTTGCTGCACATTGTACCTGCCTATTGAAATCCTTGCAAATCAGCTGGATTGGGAAGTGCTAGTCAGTTCTTTCTCATGATACAGTGTTCCACTATAGCAAGGTAGACATACTTGTTTTCTTACTGGGTATATGCCTTTTCTGTTTAAAGCTTTTTGACATTTTGAATACTGCAATTAATATTTTTTCCACATTATGGCATTCAAGGTATGGTGTGCAGACTCCTATAAGCTGTTGAGAACCTTTTGGGAGTATGTGAACTCAGAGCTATTTTGTAGTGGGGGCTTTGGGAGATGGCTCAGTAGGTAAAGTGCTCGTCATAGTACTGTGTGAAGGCTGGGCATCGTGGTTTGTGTTTCATTTAATCTTTGTCCTGGGGAAACAGATGGGTGGATGGATCCCTGGAGCACTCTGCCTAGCCAGCTTCTGTGAACTGTGGAGTTCCAGGTTCAGTGAGAGATCTTGCCTCAAATAATAAGGTGGCAAGTGACTAGGGAAGATACTTGATATCAACCTATGGACTCCAAACTCATGCACAAACAAGTGCACACGTGCTCTCCCCCATGCTTCACGTAGGCCAAAATTAAAACCCTTTTGTAAAAATGCCAGTGCATTATTTGCCTTTCTCATTGTGTTAACATTTTCCTTGAAACAACTGGAAGGCAAACTATTGGCATGTTAGCATGAACAAGGAAGTGACTCCAAAATAAACTGTTGTATTCATTCCTATCATATACAATAAAGTATGCTACTTTAAGGATGTTTTAGTGGGTGAGCCTGGATAGAGGCTATGCCTGTAACCTCAGCATTTGGGAGGATAATGCAGGAAGGGAGATCATGGAATCATGAATTTGAAGCTGACCCACTATTTTAACAGACCTTGACTCAAAGAGTATTGTTTTTAGTAAAGTTGTAAAATTATGAAGACTCAGCTCATGTGTGGGTCTTTCATTTTCATATCCTGTGTGATGAAACAAGTACATATATGGTCTGCTGCTTACCAGAGTATGAAGTTTGTAGTAAAGCAACTGAGTTGAAGATGAAACCACTTCATGAACTACCGCTCTTTTTTTTTTTTTTTTTTAAATTATTCTGTATACAGTGTTCTGTCTGCATGTATCCCTGCAGGCCAGAAGAGGGCACCAGATATCATTACAGACGGTTGTGAGCCACCATGTGGTTGCTGGGAATTGAAGTCAGGATCTCTGGAAGAACAGCTAGTGTTCTTAACCACTGAGCCATCTTACTTGAAAGAATGCCTGACATATAAACTTGTTATCTGACTTGGGTATTTGACAGATTATTTTCTTGAAAGAGAAGGAAAAAAACTTGTTACTTCAAGAGTAACAAATATTTCCAATGTAATATTTGAGCTTTCAAGGGCAAGTCAGAGTTTTTGAAAACCTCTTAAGGAATTTACTTATGAACTTGGTGTTGTTAATAATGTGTTTTTAGATAACCTGAGAAATTTATCAATATGTAGACACTTTGGATTAATTCTAGTCTTTAGTACTATGGATGCTATTTTTGAAACCATTTTTAAAACTTTATCCAAAGATGGATGCATCTGGACCCTCAGATAGTGATATGCCAAGTCGAACACGACCTAAAAGCCCAAGAAAACACAATTATAGGAATGAAAGTACTCGTGAAAGCCTTTGTGATTCTCCTCATCAGAATCTCTCAAGAGTGAGTATTGCTAAAGATGACAAAGGATGGCTAAGAGTTTTACTCTGTCCTTGATTATGGTGGTCTTGTACTTGTTTCATTTTATACTATTTGAGATTAGTATTTTTTATTAACAATATACTCCCATTTACTTAAAGAAGAATTTTAGCTTATTAGATGTTTCATTGAAGATGCTTGTTTAATTTTATTTGAAAAGTAAACATTTGAATGTAAAGTGATTATTGTCATGTTTATTGAGTTACTAGACATATTCAGGCAATTAAGACAGTCTTTGGATCTGGTGACATTGTTCAGTAGGTAAAGGTGCTAGCTGTGCAAGCCTAGGAACAAGTTGGATCCCTAGAACCCATGTGTAGATGGATGGAGAGAAATGACTTTACAGAGTTGTTCTCTGACCTCCACAGACATGCCTTGCCATCCACACCATCTATCCACAATATGAGCACACACACAATGTAAAAAAGGATCAAGTCCTTATATTCTAAGAGCTTATGTTCTCTCTGAAAACAAACAGGACTAGATGTTAGTCACTTGGGTAAGTGGAGTCCTGGGACAATCAGGGACATAGAAAGAAGCTCTCTTCTCTCTGTGTGTACATATGTGTGTGCGTGCGGGTGCAAGTAGAGGCCAGTGGTCAACACTGGACATTTTTCTCAGTTACCACACCTTGTTTACTGTGAACCAAGGTCCCTCATTGAATCTAGAGCTCCTCTTCCATTCTGCAAGCCTGGCTAGCTATTGAAGCTCTCACCTACAGTGCCGGGGTTACAGACACATGCCCCACTACCACTGGCTTTTTGCATAGGTGCTGTGGATCCATACATAGGTTCTCATTGATGCAAACATTTCACTGACTGAATTATCTTCCTGCCCTTGAGAAATGGGTTCTTTACTACAAAATATCCCTGGGTCTTTTAGTTTTTAAAAAAATCTATTTAAAATAATTTTTCTTGAGTTAGGTATATGCTATTGGTAGCATACTTGTCTAGCATGTATGAGGCCCTACATTCAGTTCTTAGCACTATTTCTAAAAAGTGTACAACTTAAATAATTTTTCTTGTGAAAAAATTCAGAAAACATTGTCTTCAGCCAGCATTGAACACTGATCATACTTTTTTTTTATTTTTTATTTTAAAAAGACAGGATTTCTACATAGTACTTTATATCTGAGTACTGTTGTGTAGACCAGGCTGGCCTTGATTGTTTGCTTTTGGTTTTTCGAGTCAGGGTTTCAATGTGTAGCTTTGGAGCCTAACCTGGCACTCGCTCTGGAGACCAGGCTGGCCTCGAACTCACAGAGATCCACCTGCCTCTGCCTCCCGAGTGCTGGGATTAAAGGCATGCGCCACCAACGCCCGGCTCAGGCTGGCCTTGAATTCATGGAGATTTTCCTGCTTTTGCCTCCAGAGTACTGGGATTAAATACGTACTCTGCCATGTATGGCCTGGTCACACATTTTTAATTTTTTCCTGGGCATAATTATATATTTACCTTTCTGAGATACATTTCATAGGAATACAACTTAAAATAGCCAGTTTTTCTGGTATTTTTATTTCAGAAAAAACTTAACTTTAACATAAATGATTATATTACTTCTTTGAGAAACACTCAGTAATTTTCTCTTCTGGATATCCAAATCTAGATGTTAGCATATTAATGACATTTGAGCACACACATTTTATTTCTTTTCTTTCTTCCTGTCTCCTCTTCCTCCTCCTTCTTCCTGTGGGTTTTTCCAGACAGGGTTTTCTCTGTAGCCCTGACTGTCCTGCAACTTGCTATGTAGATCAGACTATCCTCGAACTCAGATCTGCTTGTATCTGCCTCCCAAGTGCTGGGTTTAAAAGTGTGTGCAACTATTCCCAGCTACAAATTTTGTTTCTTAAAATTGTGTTTTTTCCTTGAATGTCTATAATTTTCATTTATTTAAAATTTTGAAACTAACTCCAATGACAGTGAATGATGGCAGGACATTTTTCAATTTTGAGGAAAAGGTGATTTTTGAATCAGTTTTTAAAAAATGACTTTTGAGGCTGGAGAGATGGCTCAGTGGTTAAGAGCACTTGCTACTTTTTGTCCAGGACCCAGGTTTAGTTCCCAGTATCCCATAGGTGATTCAAAACCACCAGTGACTCCAGTTCTAGTGGATCTGACACGCTCTTCTGATCTCATTGAAGCACACATGTAGTGCACATGCATGTATGCAAGCAAACAGTCAGAAGATAAGTAAAAATCTGGAGAGTTTGCTTGCTTGATTACTTTTTGTATTATTAACTGCTTATCTTTCCCAGAGGACTTTTAATGTAATTTCAGGGTTTTTCTTTCATACTATATTTCCAAAGTAATTTAGTTATTTGTTAACTTCTCAATTTAGTAAGGAAGAGAAAAACTTCAGATTTCAGTATTTTAGGTTATATTTTAATTAACATACCTACCTTTTAAGTTTATGAATCAGATGAATAACATGAAACAACTGAAGGCCTTTGGACTATTTAGATCAAGTTTCAGAAGGAAAAAACTGCTTCTAGATTGTACATTTGAAGGCTTCATTAAAATACTTGGACCAGCTAGGTGGCTCAAATTGTGAACATACTTGCCACCAAACCTGACCCACCCAAGCTTGCTCCTTGGGATCTACATGGTGAATGCAGAGAACCAGCTCTCTTAAGTTGTGCTTTAGCCTTCACACATATGCTTTGGTATATGTGCTCTGTTTCTCACATGCAAACACAAAAATAAATAGAATTAAAATGTGCTAAAGTCTTTAAAAATATGTTTTCTCGGACTGGAGAGATGGCTTAGAGGTTAAGAGTGTTGGTTGCTCTTCCAGAGGTCCTGAGTTCAATTTCCTCCAGCCATCTGGTGCCCTCATTATAGGCATACATGAAGGTATAACAGTGTATACATAATAAATAAATAAATCTTTTAAAAATATTTTCTCTTAAATTGAGAATTTCATGTGTATATATGTGTTTTGATCAAGTCTACACTCCATTCTTCTCTTTTGACTCCTCTCACCTACCCCTTTCCCTCCCAACTTTATATGTACTTATTCTCAACTCTTCCTTTGTCCCCACCTCTTGACTCCTCAAATTCATGTCCTCTTTTTCTTTGACTATTATTGTTTCTCTCTCTCTCTCCCTCTCCCTCTCCCTCTCTCTCTCTCTCTCTCTCTTAACAAATAAAGCTTGCCTGAAGATCAGAGTGCAGAGCTAGCCACACTACTTAGCAATAGAGGCCAGGCAATGGTGGTATACACCTTAAATCCCAGCACTTGGGCGACTGAGGCAGATGGATCTCTATGAGTTCAAGGCTACCCTGGGCTAAACGAGATGGATGCAGTCCAAAAGAGAAATAGAGCTAGGTGGTGGTGTTTCATACTTCACTCCCAGTATTTGGGAGTTGTATGCCTTTAAACCTAGCACTAGGGAGGTGGAGACAGGAAGGGATATGACTGGGCAAAGGAATATAAGGCAGGAGGAGACAGGAGCTCATTGCATTCAGTCTGAGGGTTTGTAGGGACATGATTTCCCTTTTGGTCTGAGGATTTGGTAGAGGTAAGAATTAGTGGCTAGCTGCTCTGCTTCTCTGATCACTCAGCATTAGCCTATATCTGACTCTGGGTTTTTATTATTAAAACCCATTAGAATTTGTGCTACAAGTTGGTTTTAGTGTTTCTTATGTGTAAATGATTGTATAACCAGTTGTGGGCTTCGTCCCTGGGGAAGACTAATTCTCCCTCTCTGCAGTCTTCAGTTGCCTGTCTTCTGTCTAGAGGTAGGACCACTGGAAATTTCCCTCTTCCACTAAGATGTCTGTTGGTGGTGTTATTAATCAGGTCTGTTTAGGCAGCCACATTATTAAGGTATCATGGATGTGGCTTAATTTTCTTTTTTAGGAGGCACAATCTCAAAGCAGAGTCTTTGGCTCTTAAAATCTCTTCCTCCAGTTGTGTTTTAGATGTATTTCTTGGGTTTGGGCACCTCACAATCAGTTGTTCCCTAAAGTTTGAACAGTTGTAGTTTCTGTGATGGTCTCTGACTGCTGCAAAGACATGCATGCTTCTTTGAGAATGAGAGCTACCGTTATCAGGCAGAGGCAGCTCCCAGCCCCATTCTTCATCTGGAGCTAGGTCTGTGGGTGTGGAGGTGGTACTGGGCAAAGAAAAGGATGGAGGAGGGAAGGACCAAGGTCTTCTAAGTGCTGCCAGATAGAGTTCTTATATAAGTTGACTGTCGGAACTGCTTAGCATGAGACGTGTTTTGGATTTTGGATTTTTTAAAAAAAGATTTTGATTATTGGAATATTTTCTTATACTTGAGGTATCTTGGGCATGAGATTCAAGTCTAAACATAATGTTAGTCTCTATTTTGTGTGTGTGTGTGTGATATATATATATATATATATATATATATATATAACCTAAAGGTAATTTGTTACACAGTATTTTGCACCTGGATTTTTGACTGCAATCTGTTCCTTGGGATGAGGTGTGGAACTTTCCATTTGTGATATGGAGTGTTTCAGATTTTAGATTTTCAGATTGGGGTGCTCATTTTTGTATTCAAATTATTGATAAAGTTTTATATATGCTGAAAGCTGAAATTTGCAGTAGTCCCAGGAAAGAAAATGAAACTATGTTAATATAAATATTTTTGATAAATGAGGTACTTAACCTCTGAGATGGCTCAGAGGTTAAGAACACTGGTTTTCCAGAGGTCAATTCTCAGCAACCACATGGTGGCTCACAACCTTCTGTAATGAGATTGGTGCCCTCTTCTGGCTTGCGTGGATACATGCAGGCAGAAAACTGTATACATAATAAATAATAAATCTTTAAAAAAAACAAAGAATGTGATGTGATTTGTAGTGTCTGAAATGGAAGTTACAGAGGGCTTCCAGGGAGTGGAAATGCCTCTCCCACTTGAGGGTCTGGTCTTTGTCCTTGCTGCTTTTGCCTAGAGATGTCTGTATTCTCCTTTCTCTTATGTTTGTTTTTGTTCTAAGCCTTGGTGTTGTGGAATATTAGTTAAGATGTGTTACATTTGTTTATGCTGTAGAATATTTGTTTAATGATGCAAAGATGTGTTGCATTCTTTTATGTTACATTTGTTTATGAACTGTAAAGCTGTGTGTTACTTTGCCTGCCTAAAATACCTGCTTGGTCTAATAAAGAGCTGAACAGCCAGTAGCTAGGCTCTCTGGCAGGGCAGAGAGAATAAATAGGAGAAATCTAGGGAAGAAGATCCAGGAGTGAGAAGAGGAGGAGGAGAGGATGCCAGGGGCCAGTCATGGTGTAAGAAGGAAGGAAAGATGTATAGAATAAATAAAGGTAAAAAGTCCAGAGGCAAAACGTAGTTAAAGAGAAATGGGATAATCTAAGTTAGAAAAACTGGCTAGAAACAGGCTAAGCTAAGGCTGGGCATTCATTAGTAAGAAAAAGTCTCTGTGCATTTATTTGGGAGCTGAATGGCAGGCCCCCAAAGAGTAAAGAAACCAACTACACCTTGGTTTGTGTTTCTTTTTTATTTTAACCCCTCTTCCCTGTAAAAAAGCCTTTTGCCTGTTACTGACTTTGAGTTAGGAAATAAAGAGCATTCCTCATTGAGTGGGTATGTACCTCAAAACCATAGTCTGCTTGGAGTAACCCCAGCTTTTGTTTGCATTTGGTACTTTAAAACAGTAACTCTTCTAAAGACTTGGCTATAAATTAACATATTTTAAATTTATAAGTAACATTAAAATATGTATGTAAAGACAAAATAATCTTTTTGTTTCTTTTTACAGCCTCTTCTAGAAAACAAGCTTAAAGCATTCAGCATTGGAAAAATGAGCACAGCGAAGCGAACTTTAAGTAAGAAGGAGCAAGAGGAACTAAAGAAAAAGGTAATGTTTAAGTATATTTTAGGTTATGCTTTGAAATGAATGTGTAAGCAGTAGAGACCATGTTTCTGAAGAATTTGACTTCTTACGTGTTTGCAACTCCACGTCTGAGTCAAGTCTTTAACATAAGGAAGCTTCTCTTCCTTTCCCCTGATCTATAGCTCTATGTGATGATCAGTTATTTTGTCAAAGTGTGTGTGTTTGTGTGTGCATGTACTCTACTGTACCCTTTTCCTTTTTATCTTCCTTTTTAGATGGATGATAGTATGCTATAGAGTAAGAGTACTTTCCTCCATTTACTCTTTTTAACCAAATGTTATATCTTTATGAGTACTTGTAGGATAGAGAAATCCTACATTTTTATAGCTTTGTAGGTTTGTAATAGTTTGTTCATTTAAAATCCTATTGAGGGCCGGACGTTGGTGGCACACGCCTTTAATCCCAGCAGAGGGAGGTGGATCTCTGTGAGTTGAGACCAGCCTGGTCTCTCCAGAGCGAGTGCCAGGATAGGCTCCAAAGCTACACAGAGAAACCCTGTCTGGAAAAACAAAAACAAACAAACAAAAAATCCTATTGAGGGATTTTTGGTTTTGCTCTTCGGACATTATGTTACAAATGCTTTTTATGAATATGTGCATTTTTTTTTCCTAGTTTGCCTTTGGGGACATATTCCTGAAAGGGGAGATAGTTGGAGTGAATACTAATAAAAGTGATGACCCCACCCCCATACACGTGCATGTAGTGAATCTTGCTGAAGGAATCTTTGCCAATTTGTAGTATGAAAAATAATACCTCAGTGTAGTTTTGAATTTGCAGATCTTTCAGTGGGAATACAGTTGAGTACCTCGCTCCCCTGCTTTATTTCTTTTTATTTTTCTTTTGGTTTTATTCTTGTAAAAATTATTGTTATACTCAGTGCTCAGTCTTTCCCCATGATTTCTTGCCTTTTCTTTTCTTTTTTCTTTCTTTTTTTCTTTTCCATTTCTGGCTTATAGAAGGATTTTCCTCTAGGATCTGCATTCTTAGAAGAATCCCAATGAATTCCTAGAATTGTTTCCATTTTTAAGAAAATTTAATCTTCATGCAGTTTTTCCTGGCATATAATACAAATAATTGATGTCATTTTATCTCTTTTCAAGTAGTTTTTTATGTCAGTTTCATTTATGGGAAAGTTTGTGTATCTCCCTCTGACACTAGATACTCCTTTTATTGGATGTATTTCTTTTCTAATTGTTCCATTTTCCTGTTTGATTTGGGTTTTTGAGGTAGAGTCTCTTTATGTAGCTCAGGCTGGTCTGGAACTCTGTCTTCCTGCCTTCATTTCTGAAGTGATAGACATGTGCCATCATTCTCAGCTTGGTATTCTTACTCATATATTTTGGGGACGTTTAGATGATGTATAGTTGAGAATGCCAGTTTTTTTAGCTTTTTTTTTTTTTTTTTAATGCCATGTTAGAAATAGGTACTGTAGTTTTGCTTCTATTGTATCTTTGGCTTTGGCTATTTGAGAATGAAATTTTTATTTATGATGAATTAAGTCATAGTGCCTTGGAGAACAACTTTTTTTTTTTAAATTTATTTATTTATCATGTATACAGTGCATGCCAGAAGAGGGCACCAGATCCCATTACAGACGGTTGTGAGCCACCATGTGGTTGTTGGGAATTGAACTCAGGACCTCTGGAAAAACAGTCAGTCCTCTTAACCTCTGAGCCATCATCTCTCCAGCCCCTTGGAGAACTTCTTAAATAGTAATAGACTACTATATTTTCATACAGTCATTTGTCTTACAGTTTGGCTCTTGAATTGTTTTGAAATGATTTACTTGTTTACCCATATGTTGTAAATTATTTTCTGCGTCTTTAAATTTCTAATAAAGGAGAAAATGCTTTTTGTTTTAATTATTTAGCATATGATTATTGGTAATGTCTAATGTCTACCAAGTAGTAGATATTAGAATAACTTGGGAAGGAAGAAGCTTTGTGTATACAATTTCTTTTCTTTTTTTCTTTTTTATGTGTATGGATGTTTTGCCTGTCTGTATGTGTTTGTGACCTCTGTATACCTGGTCCCAGAGAGGTCAAAAGAGGGAGTTGATCCCCAAGGACCCAGGTTACAGATGGTTGTGAGCTGCCATGTGGATGCTGGGACCTGGATCCTCATGAAGAAGAGCCAGCTCTTAGCTGCTGAGCTGTCTCTCTGCATAGAGGCATTTGTCTTTATTCCCACCATTTGGTAGGCGGAAGTAGGCAGATTTCTCTGTGCAAGGCTAGTGTAGTCTACATAGTGAATTCAGGTCTGCCTGGGCTACATAGTGAAATCCTGTCTCAAAAAACAAAAACAAGTCAAGCCATACCTACATAGCATTTCTCACGTCACTAATCTTTCGTTATGTATTTAGGAGGATGAAAAGGCAGCTGCTGAAATTTATGAGGAATTTCTTGCTGCTTTTGAAGGAAGTGATGGTAATAAAGTGAAAACATTTGTTCGAGGCGGGGTTGTTAATGCAGCTAAAGGTAAGTGCAGAAATATGGATTTGAACAAACCTTGGATGACGCAGCAACACGTTAATTATGGAAGACATTTGACTTTGAGCTTCACATTTCTTTTCTATTAGCTCCCTCTAGTGGTTAGACTGAGTAGCAAAATAAATGACCAAATATGGAGTAATGAAGAGACATTGAATGTGATTTTCAGGACTGTATGAAGGAGTTAATAAGAAAAATACTTAGTACCAAGCTTTTAAAAAAAAGCAGATTATGTTGCAGAAATTTTAATGTTACATAGTTTTGCTATATAGTGATTGAATTGTGACTTTTTAGGGTTGAGTGGTAATAATTAAATTTAATTTTATATCCAAATCTTAATACTAAAACTGTCTTCTTAAATAGAAATAACAAAAACCAAAATTATATGAAGTTAGTTTTACAACTTAGTATTTTAAATTTCAGATGAACATGAAACAGATGAAAAAAGAGGTAAAATCTATAAGCCATCTTCAAGATTTGCAGATCAAAAAAATCCTCCAAATCAGTCGTCCAATGAAAGGCCACCCTCTCTTCTTGTGATTGAAACGAAAAAACCTGTAAGTAATTATTAAATAATTGAGTGTTTATTTTAGAAGCTAGTATTGACATTAGTACTTTGAGTGTACCCTTACAAGAAATTTTTTATGGTTTATAAGTCTTGGAGTAGGTGTTGAGTTTTGACGTTGTCTAACTCAGTAATTCATGTAGATGAGCGATGGTAGATTATGTTAGGATATGGCAATAGTACTTACTCGTTGAACATTTGTGACTGTATTCATATTATGTATTGTAAGTCAAAAGTCTTGTTATAAATTTAAGGTAATAGTATCCTTTTAAACAGTGCTGAACTACAATCCTAAAATTACTAGCAATATGTACATGTTTCTCAGGATGGTTTTAGAACTTCTTAGGGATTACTGCCAGAGTTGATGTATCTTTTAATTTTTCATTATAGAGTTTTGCTCATTGGAAATAGAAGTTTTACATGGGACAGTAGGTTGATAATGGAGCCACATTTGGTTAATTAAATATGATTACATTAAATAGTGAGATTGATTTTTCTTGTGGCTGTTAAGATAGCTCCGAAAGCAATTAAAATATAATAGCTTTATTGCTGTGTAATTCACACACCTTAAAATTTGCTCTTCAGAGTCTTTATTAGGTAGGCTCTTTTAGTATATTCACAGTTATTCAAAAATTGCCATTATGCACTTCCAGAAGATTTTTATCACCGCCAAAAGAAACCATAAATTTTATTATATTGTTTTTTTCAACTATAACTTATCATATTCTTAATAGCCACTGAAGAAAGGGGAGAAAGAAAAGAAAAAAAGCAATTTGGAGCTCTTCAAAGAAGAACTAAAACAGTAAGTTTTGTAGAGAGAATTGTATCATAGGCATACTGGACTGATTGGCAGAGATGTTGGTATGTATACTCATTATTATCAACTGGCTTATAAGTGAGCTTGCTATAGCTACAACAAACACATGGTAGCATAGTGTGAGAGTCAACTAGCATTTAGTCAATGTCCATTGCTGCTTGTGATGTGTAGATTTAGTTCAGTTGGTTTATTTCCTATCTGAATCCAGTTTATTCACTAGTGTAGAGGTCATCAAGTCTATTGAGAGCAAAAATGTAAGGAGTAGTTTTATGTTGAATTTTCTTTTCACCCCTAAAGAGGCATTATTTTCAGTGTGTACTTCCTTCCTGTCTTATAACTGGAAGGGCTCACTAATCTTGATTATAATTACTGGTAATGCAAATACATTAAATTATTTGAAGATGTTACTTAGATAAGCCGTGTTACTAAATTTGAATGTGGCTTACCTCTAAGTTGACTATAAATATTTTCAACAGAATTCAGGAAGAACGTGACGAGAGACATAAAACAAAAGGCAGGTTAAGTCGATTTGAGCCTCCCCAGTCAGATTCTGATGGTCAACGACGGTCTAGTAAGTGATGTTTATTTTAATGTATATATTTGTGATTTATTATCCTAAAAACTAAGAGTTGTTCTCTTTTCTGTTTAAGTGGATGTGCCTTCAAGAAGAAATCGATCATCTGGTGGTAATACAGTTTTTTGCTTTTTAATGAATAGAAATTGTTTCAGCTTTGTATTCCACAGGGTATAATTTGTTTTTTTCTCCTTGTTTAGTTCTTGATGATTATGCACCTGGCTCACATGATGTAGGAGATCCGAGTACTACTAATTTATACCTTGGAAACATTAATCCACAGGTAATATAAGTAAAAGAAAATGGGTGTTGGCTCATGTTCATTTTTATTGTTGGACAGCTAGGAAAGTAAAATGTAGATTTTGAAGTTGATAAATCTGATGGTATTGGATAGATCCAAATTGTTCTGTATGTTCTTGCCCACGTGTCTTCCCTCTTAGTAACTAGATTGTACTCTTTGAGACACCTCTTTTCATATGTGTAGCTTGCTTTCTTAGGAAGTTCCTTTTTCTTTCCGTCCTGTGCTTTTCCCTTTTTGAAATGTGTTCCTATTTTAGCTGGAGCTTGGGCTCCTCCTGTTTACCGCCTCCCCTCTGCTGATTGCAAGACATACCATCACACTGGCTTCAGGGTTTTAATTCCTCTGCTTCGGTTTGATTAGTATATTTGGGGGGATATGGTAGTTAGATGAAATATTTTGTTGAAAAAAAAGTATACTTTTGATCCTGCTGTATATGCACTGTTTTGTGATTCTGTTCTTGGCCACCCTGGCAGATGGGTACCTGAGAGAAGAAAGCAGTTGGGTCTTTTTCCTTCCACCCTCAAAAATACACTCCTCACTCACTCTTGCCTGAAATGCTGTTCACTTTATTATAGTGGGAAATTACCAATACGGAGTCAGGTAGAAATATAAGGGTATTTAATAGGGAAAAGCCTTACTTACAGAGCAACCTAGCCAGCCGGTGGTAGCGGTCTGTATAGCAAGCAGCAAAGTGAAGCCGAAAGCGCAAACACAGTCACATTACGTCATAGGGGCTGGCTACAGGTTCCTCTACACTTTATAGGTAAACTACAGCTGTCAAACAGATTTTTAGATTCCAAGATCTTCAAAAAAAAAAAAAAAAAGGTCACCATGCCTTTGGTTCTAGTAGCTCTAAGACCCTAAACCCTAGCTGCTTATTTAAATGAAATAGAAGGCTTCTAACATGAAAATACTGCAAATGCCCTGATAGGGCAGGTTTTACCTGTGTTGAGTTCCTAGTATTTGAATGTAATACTGTAACATTCCTATGTTCCTTTTTAGTTTGTAAAGATGATTTTGCTTTCTGGGCTGCATAGACTCCTTTGCCCCTCCCTTCCTTTGTGTTGCATAACCAAACACTCTCATCTTTTAACAGATGAATGAAGAAATGCTGTGCCAAGAATTTGGAAGATTTGGACCATTAGCTAGTGTAAAAATTATGTGGCCTAGAACTGATGAAGAAAGAGCAAGAGAAAGAAATTGTGGCTTTGTGGCTTTTATGAATAGAAGAGATGCTGAAAGAGCTCTAAAAAATTTAAATGGTAAAGTTCTTATGGTCCATTTACAGAATTTAGGTTATTTCTTTGGTGTAGATTATTCATAAAAACTGTCCTGAGAATTTGAATTTAGATAAAATTTGAAAGCCTGTAAAGGAAATTTAAGTTAAGTTGCCTGGAATACTTTCTTCTCTGCAGGCTTGTCAAAGTAACCTTTCTCTTTTCTTTTTTCTTTTGTAGGAAAAATGATTATGTCTTTTGAAATGAAGTTAGGTTGGGGTAAAGCTGTCCCTATCCCTCCACATCCAATATACATTCCGCCTTCTATGATGGAGCACACGCTTCCCCCACCTCCATCCGGACTGCCTTTTAATGCGCAGCCTAGAGAGCGCTTAAAAAACCCCAATGCTCCCATGTTACCACCACCTAAAAACAAGGAGGATTTCGAGAAGGTAATTTTAAAAATGTACATAGGGCGGCATCTAATATGTAAATACTAAATCTGTGGTAGTATTTCTTTTCAACAATTTTATAGAAATATGTGTGTTACTCTGGCAACTCAAAGAAATAAGTAGATATGTTCCCTGCCTTAGCCCATGGAAACCCTATATTGAATTATTAGGTCATATTTTTATTTGTGGCTACCATTCCCTTTTGACCACTTGGTAAGCTTCCCTCCCCCGTTGTTCAGTGTTGTATTCAGGTTTGCTTGAATTCAGTGTTTGCATTTACTTTGTTCTAAGAACATACTAGTTTTTATTTGGTTAAGAGACTTTTCAACTAGAAAGACCACCTAAATAGTTAAATTGTTTGGATGGCAGCAAACTAACTTAGCTTTCCAGGTCTTGAGGTATTAGACTATTATATGACCGCATATATGATATTTCAAAAATAGTTAGCTAATCTAGTAAAAGCAAAGGGTGAGTATTTTTCTTTATTAAACATAAAACCAACTTAATTTTGAGTTATAAGAATTTGTTGGTTCTGTTACGAGTTAATTACACTTGAAATTGCAGGGCTCGTTTTAAAGGCTTGGGAACAAAGTAGCAAACTGTATGGTCAGAGGCAAACAGTTAATTACTTCACAAATTAAAATCTTTATCTGATAATTCTCAGTGTAGTACCTATTTCAGTGCATTGATGTGCATTCTAGCGGGAATGTTCTGATTCTTTGCATTTGGTGAACATTAATTGTTCACTGTGAACACATCCATTTGCATTTATGTAATTGCATAGTGTATAATTACTTCCAATGCAGTGATTGCCTGCAGAACTTGTGATTAGATGTGTAGTGTTTTCAATGCATTATGTATATTTTTGCTTGTTACTTGTTAACAATACTCACATATTCTATGTTTATTATCTGATGTGACTTCATATACAGACTCTGTCGCAAGCCATAGTCAAAGTGGTTATCCCAACAGAAAGGTACATGTTTTTCTTTATTATTACTGATCTAAATATAGACAATATCCCCTTCTGAATTGAAAAGAAATGGTGTTGAGGAAAAGGTAATATCTTGACTGAGCAATGGCTCCTTTCCAGGGCTTTTTGGGGGATATGTAAAAATTAAGTAAGTTTAGTATACTTTGTAAATTTTATGTTATGTTTTGTTTTGTTATCATTTTAGAGAGTTCTTAATAGCTTTAGACGTTAGAATGTTTAAGTAGATTAATGTGGAGTTGTTGGTCTGGTAATTTGAAACTATTGTGAAGGGAAAATAGGTATTTTAAAGAAAACATGCGGTAAATTTTAGATAATGTTAAAATTTCAACCAGTCTCTTGTTGGTTTCTGGATTATCTACATTTAATATACAATTTTGGTTCATCTTGCTGGAGGTGCAGTTGTATTTTTTTTTCTTTCTAATTGATATTGAGAAGAAATTCCACTTGTTTTCGTGAACACTAGACATATTAGGAATTTTGAGTCACGATAACAAAGGTGTTTGGATCTTTTTATTTTTCTTCCTTCCCCTTTTTTCTTTTTTAATACATTGCTAATGAAGAACAATCAGACTGTAGGTATGCTCTTGCTCAGTCAAGCTCAGCCTTTTCCCAAACACAGGAACACAACACTGGTTGAATAATAATAAATGAACACAAAAGAATTCCAAATTCTCTTTGACATTGGCCTTGGTGAGCAACACCAGCTGAACTGTCTGCGGCAGCGGGGGACCAGGAAAACATCATGGGATGGATTGGGAAAGTATACAGTTTTTGACCAGACATTGGTACGATCGACTCCAATAAATGTGGTTTTATTATAACTGAGAGACTTTTTTTTTGTTATGGTTGCCCAGAATAAGATAATTAATGTTTAAAAATAAAATAATGCACTTTAAAATGTAACATTTTTGTACTACACTGTTTTGTTTTGATAGAGAAGTCATTTTTTAAATAAAATTATACAATCCTTAAGGGATGAGTATGATTACAATTCTTTACTCTTGATTCCAAGACAGCAGCAATTAATTGTCAGATTTTGATTTTAAGTAATCATATAAAACATTTTAACTTCCTTTAAACTTGTAATTTTATAAAGATAGATTTTTATCAGTTACAAGCCTGTTTAAAACTATAGTGGGTTATTTTTCCACTGTTAAAACATACATAGGGAAAGTATTTTTTATAGCATTCAAAAAAACATGTCCAGTAATTTTATGTGTGACTCAGCTTATTTCTAAACGAAATTTTGTATATATATTTTACTGAAAAGTCTTGATTTACCATTAAAATGAGTCCTTTGGTTTTAAACGATAAACCATTTTTCATGTTCCTTAAATTACTGAAGTCAAGTTGTTTTTTACTATATTGATAGTAGTCCCTGGGTCTATAACATTTGTCATGTAAATGGTCATGTATTATGATTTGCATATGAAACTTCCCTGAGTTTTAATTTGCCGCATAGCAGCGGGGATTTTAAAACTGTAATAATTGTACGGCCCCTTCTAAACAGTGCCACAAACTGAATGGGTGCCGAGTTCCCTCTCACTACTATTGTGTATCTGCACAGCAGTTAATACTTTTGTGAAGGAGAATAATTTTTTTAAAAACAATTTGAAGTTGGATTGGTAGTTCTAAATGGATAATTTCCCCTTTGTAAAGACTTAAACCTCCATGTAATTTTTTGATCTTTGTAATTATTTTTTTCTGCTGTGTAGAGCTATTAGTGTCCATTTGAGTAGTCTTGTTTGAAAAATAGAAAATATAGTCAGTATAAGATTATTTCACTGTCAGGTATTTTGAAGCAAAGTATTTAGAGCCCCCTCAAAAAAAATTCTGTCTTCTATAATTGTACTTATATTCTAGCAGTTACATGGACTTAATTGAGCCAAGAATGCTCAGGATGTAATTTGTGTGTGTCTTATACCAGGAGCCAATATCCTTTTGCTTTTCCCAGTTGTTACTTGCCAACTTTGTACTACTTGGGGACTGGTGAAAGTAAAGTTGAGAGCAGCTTATGAATAAGTAAGCTGAGTCATTTCTGCCTAACGCATTAGTCAGTGCCTGAAATTAATTTGGAATCTTTTATTAAAGATTTTATTTTTAGATTAAAAAATTAAATTCTTCCTATGAGTGCAACCAATAAAGTGACTTAATAACCAGTGGCTCATATCTTTGTGCTTAAATGTGGAAGATAACATTACAGAATATGGGCACCTTACCATGTCCCCTGTGTTGTAAACTATAGGATTTCATTTACACATGACTTCACAGTATAATTTTTTCATTGGTTGGTAATATGCAGTCAGGATTACATGTTAGGAGTTCTAAACTAATTTTGAAGTATGCTTCAAAGGGATGTTGCCTCATTAAAGGTCAGATTTAATAAAAACTCCATCTGGTGTGTGTGTACTAGAAACACAGGAATTTGGATGGGTCTTTTATTAAATCAGGTCTTAAATTTGTTAAATAATTTTACAGTTTTGTAAATTAAAGTTATGATTATAACATTCCAGTATTTTTATGAAAGTGCCTGTATAAGGACTATTTTTCTTTAAAAAAGACATAGTGTATACATTTCTAGATGGCTGTATCATGCAGATTGTAAGTTGCTGATTTTATATATTTGCAGCTATCCAGTTAGTTGTGATTTATAATTTAATTTTTTTTGCATTTTGAAAATAATGTTAAGTGGCATTTAGAAAATTCAGTCTATTACTACAAGGGTGTCTTGTGGCTTCCCATACTCCTTCACCTCTCCTTCCTTCCTTCCTTCCTTCCTTCCTTCCTTCCTCTCTTCCTCCCCTCCCTGCCCCATTCCCTTTTAACGCACAAGGCTTTTAATGTATGCTCCAGGTTACTTTTTTTATATTAAATTCTGTTAGTCAGAAGGATGATTTTCTTTTTTTAACTGCACCGTTATAGTAACTTAAGTGTAGTTTTATATAGGGGTATGTCTGAATCCATTTTCTTTAACTGTGTTGTTGTTGTAGGAATTTGCTCGCCCTGATACATCGAATGATAGAATTTGTTGTGCGTGAAGGGCCAATGTTTGAAGCTATGATTATGAACAGAGAAATCAACAATCCTATGTTCAGGTATGCTTTTATTATGGTGATAAATCTATAAGAAAATTTAGCATGAACTATCTTTAAGTGGCATTAAGTACATTCATATTATTTTATAGCATTACCATGTATCCATTCACTTCCAGACATCTTTTCACCTTCCAGAACTGAAGCTCTATACTCATTGAAGAATAACTCTTAATTTCTCTGGCAAATACCATTCTTTGTATTTCTGTGAATTTGACTACATATCTCTTTAAGTGTAGAATCATGTAGCATTTTCTTTTAGGACTGACTTACTTCAGCACTTTCTTTTGGAGGCAGATGTGGGGGAGAGTGAGATGATCTCATTCTGTAGCCTCGACTGGCCCTGTACTTCCCGTACTTTTAGTACTGGAATTTACAGGCAAAATTCATACCCGGCTCCTTTTAAAGTCTATGTTATGACTATATTCTATATGTATCCTCAAATAGTATTTTCAAGTCTTTTAACTCTGCTTCTTTCTTTTTTTGATATTAAAAATATTTCTAAGAGTAAGCTAGTGAGGCAGCTCATTGGGTTAGGGCTCTTGCTGCCAAGCAAGAAAATCCAGAACCCATCTGGTGGGAAGAGAGAGCAGATTCCCAAAAGTTGTCCTTTGACTGCTCTTTGTTCTGTGACATGCATGAGCACATGCACACATACAAACAAGTAGTGTATGTATGTATTTTATTTCCAAGAATACAGTTACAAAAAAAAAAAAAAAAAGACTTAGCTCTAGCTTTGTCTAGGAGGAAAATAGCTTTTCATTATGCTTTTCAGTGAGAGTCATAAGCAAGCTAGAATTGGGCAAAGTAGTTTGAAAGGAGATTGTTTATCATCTGAATTGCTGTATCTAAAACATTGATTTAATAATGCTCTATTAAATAGGGTAGGAGCTTTTCAAATTACCCGTTGAGAAAACCTCTCTAGTATTCTAGTATATCTTCTGACCTGTTTCATAATGCTAGTTGTGGCATGGTGGTACATACTGTTAATCCTAGTGCATGGGAGGCAGAGATGGGTGGGTTTCTGTGAGTTGGAGGGTAGCTTGTTGGTATACATAGTGAGTTCCAGGACAGCCATTGGCTACATAGACTTTGTCTCAAACAAAAAATTTAAAAATTATAAAAACAGTAGTTCTGAGTGTTCATATTAGTTTCTAAGGCAATCAGGGGAAGGGTGGATATTATGGAAGATGAAAAGACCCCTTCCTTACTCTCCAATGCCCCAGGGTCTTTGCTTTTGTTTCTTTAGAAGTAAGAGGACAAATAGTATTTCTTATTCATCTTATTTAGTTGATAGTAGCTTGCTCTCTCTCAATTGAATAGGCTTACAAGTAACTGGTTTCATGTAGACATTAAAGTAGGTAGCTTTTTTCCTAAAGAATATGGTGTTTATTGTTTTGTTGTTTTGTTTAGGTTCTTATTTGAAAATCAGACACCAGCCCATGTTTACTACAGGTGGAAGCTTTATTCAATTCTGCAGGTAAGTAGGATCAATTACTTTGTTGATTTTAACTCTGAGAATTAGAGCTTTCTAATAACATTTTGCATACTATTAGGGTGATTCTCCAACAAAGTGGCGGACAGAAGATTTTCGTATGTTCAAAAATGGATCTTTTTGGAGGCCACCACCGTTAAATCCATACCTTCATGGGATGTCAGAAGAGCAAGAGGCAGAAGCCTTTGTGGAGGAGCCTAGTAAAAAGGGAGCGCTCAAGGAAGAGTAAGAGCTTTTTTTCTGTTATGTGTTCAGGAAAGTCGCTTTAACGGTCACATTCTCTAGCTTCTTGCTGTAACTTTTTTAGCCACAAGATAAAGTGGTCTTTTCACTTGGGAGTGTGTAAGAGTAACGTGCTGTGTGATTTTTAGACATCTTGGATAAACATAATGGTAAATAACAAGAGGTATCCTGCTAACCTTGACTCTTCCTGATGAAATTAGTGATCATCTCTTAAGTATAGTTGAGCTCTTTCTCTAGCATTGTAGTACTTAAGGTTCTTATAGAAATTCCCTAGAGACCATTAGAATTTGTGCAAGATAAAAGAAGAAAACATACCATGTAGTAGGGTCAGGCATATACTATGCAAAGCCTTTCTATAGTTTTATGTAGACCTACTGCTATAGTGTGTAGTAGTTCTGAGGTGGCAGCTAGGAAAACATTAATATTAGTGCCCATTGGAGAGATGGCTTACTTGTTGCTTTTGCTGAGGACCTGGGTTCAGATCCCAGTACCTACAATGGTGGCCCTCCAGCTGTAGGACTCCAATGTTCTCTTTTGGCCTCTGCATGTTGTATATGTGTATACATACATGGAGGTAAAACACTCAAACACATAAGATAAAAATTAAATCTTAACCAAAAAAGTTAGTGCTCATTCAGAACTGGTATAATGAGTTAGCTATATTTTAAAAAGCAGACATACTAAATATGTATTTAGAGTTTCTTCATACCTCATGGAAAATGTTGACTAAAAGATTTTAGCATGTATTGTTACATGCTTCATTGCACCCTGTGGAAGGCTTAATACCCATTGTATCAGTGTTTTGTTGGTGAGGGTGTTTGCTAGTGGGGTTCTTCAGTAGCTGAGTATATTGTTGCTTTAGGTCTGTGTTCATTACATTAGCTGCAGATCCAGTCTTTAGTCTAAATCTAGCTATCTTCTGGTTTTGTAAATGAAAGTTAAAAGTTCTTACTACGTTTACTTATTATATCTGTGTATGTATGTATGCATGCACACCCGTGGCATGCATTTGGAGGTTAGGGAACAACTTGGCAGGACTTTTCTTTCCTTTCGCCTCTGGGCCCTAGGAATGAAACAGGTTATCAGGCTTGGAGGCCTTTACCTCCTTTGCCGTCTTGCCTTCCAAGTAAATAAAGTTTTATTAAAACAGAATGTTGCTCATTTCTTTACATGTATATAAGACTACCTTGGAATAATAGCAGTAGAGGAACTATGTTACAGTGACCATGTGGCCTGCAGGACCTAAAATATTTATGTTTTCCTTATAAAAAAAGCTTGTCCTATTTAATCCCTTGTAAAAGTGATAAAGTAATACTTCTTTCAAAAAAAAAAGGTATGGAGAACTTGGAGGGTTTCTATTTTAATGGGGATAGTATGAGTGTAATGCTTTCGGAGACTTGAAAATAAATGGCCATAATTTAAAATAATGTAAAATTTACTTATTTTAAAAATGTCACTAAATATTTTGTTAGTTTTAGAAAAAGTATTCGTCTCTATATAAGTTCTTTAAAAATTGTAGATGAGTGGTGGTGGTGCACACCTTTAATCCCAGAACTCGAAAGGCAGAGGCAGGTAGATCTCTGTGGGTTCCAGGCCAGCCTGGTCTACAAAGTTAGTTCCAGGACAGCTAGAACTACTACACAGAGAAACCCTTTCTCGAAATTCCCCCACCCCACCAAAAAAAAAAAAAGGAAATGAATTTGAAGAGAACCTATCAAAACTCAGTCTTTAAAAACCATTTTATCTGAGTGGGTTTTTAAACAAACTAGTTTTTGTGAGGTGAACATGGTAACTGATGTAGTTGAGACCCCCCCCCCCCAAGAAGTTAGTCTGGGACATTTGGAATGTTATGTTCAAATATTTATAAGTGAAAAACTTATATTCAGACAGCGGGATAAATTAGAAGAAATCTTGCGAGGATTAACTCCAAGGAAAAATGATATTGGAGATGCCATGGTATTCTGTCTTAATAATGCTGAAGCTGCTGAAGAAATAGTGGATTGCATTACTGAGTCGTTGTCCATCTTAAAAACACCTCTTCCCAAGAAGGTATTGAAGTGGTTTCTCTTTCTGAACATTAGTTAAGGGTGGGGGAATAATTGACTTTTGTTGTTGTTGTTGTTGTAATTAGCTTCTTTACATGAAGAGCTTGACTGATGAAATATTTTCTAGATAGTCTTTTGTCTGAGAAACTGGTTGAAATGCAAAGAAATTAACAGATTGTATTACTGCAAAAGTCGTGATTGTAATGATTATGGATCTCATACAAGTAATAATTTGTGTTTACTATTAAATTATAGTTAAACTTAGCTTCTGCCATTACTTCAAGGAATGATTGTACAGGTTTTTCCTAGATATGCTATTGGCTAATGTTTTCATTTTGTCTCATTTTGTATTGCAGATTGCCAGATTATATTTGGTTTCTGATGTTTTGTACAACTCTTCAGCCAAAGTTGCCAATGCCTCATATTACAGGAAATTGTAAGTATAGGATAGGAGTTAATACTCTGAGATGAAGAGATAATTCTGTTAGGATTCTTCCTTAATAAGAAATAATTTTAGGGGTCAGTGAGATGCTCGCTCAGTGGGTCCCAGAGATTAAACTCAAGTTGTCCCTTTTGACAACAGTGTTTTCATCCAATGAGCCATGTAGCTCATCCTTGTTTGGTTTTTATTGAAAGGGGGTGGTCTCAGTCTATAAGGGGGGGCTTCTGTCTATCTCAGATTGTCTAGAATTTACTGTGTAGCCCAGACTGACCTTAAACTTGTGGTAGTCCTCTTGCTATAACCTTCCAGGTGCTGAGATTATAGTATGGACTACCATATATTATATTTTATTTCTTTTCGTTTTTTCTTTTTTTGATTTTTCAAAACAGGGTTTCTCTGTGTAGCTTTGGAGTCTCTCCTGAAACTCACTTTGTACACCAGCCTGGCTTTGAACTCAGAGATCTGCCTACTTCTGCCTCTTGAGTTCTGGGATTTAAAGGCGTGCACTACCACCACCCAGCTATATTTTATTTCTTAAATATTGACAGAAAAAATAGGTGGTGTTTTAAAAAAAATTAAACCATATAATTTGCCTATTTAGGTACTGTATAATAAGTAGTATAATAAATAATGGCATATGTAAAAGAAGAAATCAAAGCTTTATTAACATCATTATTTTCTTTTGGTAATCATATTAGTTTATTTTTTTAAAAAATTATTTATTTTTATTTTTTCATATGAGTACTTAGCTTGCATGTATTATGTGCATCACATGTGTGCCTGGTGCCCATGTCCATGTAGGCCAGAAGGCGTCAGATCCCTTGGAATCATAGTTGTGATCTGTCATGTCCTTACCGGGATCTGAATGAACTTCAGGGCTCTTAGCGCCTATCTTGCCAGCCCTGTTCATTGATTTTCCTTGTTCTTGTTTTCTAAAGCAGAAGGGAGTTGTAGTTGGCATTGTAATTCATATGTAAATCTTAAGTTCCACAGAGCTCCTATTTGTCTGTAATTATTAAATGGTCAGGCTCAGGGAAAGGAATTGACTCTAAAAGGAAATTCAGAATTGTGGCCTGGACTGGGGTTTATAACTCAGTTGGTTGAGTGCTTGCCTGGCATAAAGAAGCCCCGGGTTGATCTCCAGCACCACGTAAAAGCAGGTGTGTTTGTGCACTCTGTGATCCTGACAGTCCAGAGGTAGAGGCAGGAGGATCAGCAGCTCAGGGTCATCCTAACTAATCTATATAGTGAGGAAGACACTGGGGACTGATTTGCATTTTAGAATCTTAGCTCTTTGAAGTCTCTGACATTTCCCTCTTTCTTATTAACCCCATCCTTTGTTCCCCAATACTTATTGATAAAAGTATATTTTATAATCTATCCAGATTGACACCACTTTCCTGGCTGCTGGCCGAAGTTGCCATTGTCTCACCTAAATTACAGCAGTAGTGTCCTAACTGGTTTCTCCTCGATACCCCCGGTCTGTTCTCCATACAGTGTCCAAGTGCTCCTTTGAAAACACAAGTTTTCAAACCTATGGATGAGTGGAGTTCAGTTTGTAGAGTGCTTGTATAGCATGCCCAGAGCTCTTGGGTTTGAGCCCAGCATTGTGTACAGTCAGGTGTGGTGGTGGCACTTGGAAGGTGGAGGTGGGAGGATGAGCAGTTCAAGGTAATCCTTGGCTATGTAGCAAGTCCTAGGCTAGCCTGTGCTACATATGTGTGCATATGTGTCTGTGTGAGTGTACTTGTGCAGGAGAGAAGGGGAACGAGATCAGGAGGATAGCCCTACTTTTAATTATGCTAGTATTTTTTTTCCCCTTCTATATGTTACGTACCTTTTAAATTTGCTATTATATAACACAAAAAAAGGAGGACCAGATGGCTAAGTTCATCCTAAAAAAAAATTTCTTGCTAAAGGACACTGGTATTTTAAGTTTCTTAATTTGCTTTATCTATAAGACCAGAAGAGATTTTCATTGGCTAGCAGGCTGAAGAGAATATGAGTTTTTAAACAAATTCTATTTTAAAGAATGTATTGTTTGAATTTCAGTTTTGAAACAAAGCTATGTCAGATATTTTCAGACCTCAATGCTACTTACCGTACAATTCAAGGCCATTTACAATCTGAAAATTTTAAGGTATGTATATTTTATTGTTTTTGCCCTGATGTGTCAAATAGAGGAGGAGGGCATTAGAGGGCTATAAAAGAATGTAAGACAAATACAATATTTAAGACTTGGGTCTTTTAGAAATTACTCTTAAAATTCTTTAAAATACTATGTATGTTGTCAGGTAGTTTTTAATTTTATGTTAGCTTAAATATTTTTTATTTTCAAAATTTTCTTTAATGATTTATTAGTTTTAATTGTGTGTATGTGTCTCTGTGTGGATATAGTCCCATGTGTGCAGCTGCCTATCCAGGCCAGAGGTGTAGGGTCCCCCTGGAGTCATAGTTACAGGGAATTGTGAACCAACTGATGTAGGTGCTGGGAGCTGAATTCAGGGCCTCAAGTCTTACTTAAATATTTTTAATACTGTTTTGTTCTGTTTTCCTACTTCTCAGAGAACATGTTTGTAAGATCATTTGTTTTATCATACTAATTTGTCTGGATTAGGAAGGTGCATTGTGGTTATTCCTGGTTATTTAGAAAGTACCTTCAGGGCATTGATAGCGCCAATATATCAGGCGGTTGTGATGTGAGAGACCTGACCTTCTGAGATACGGGGCCTGGAGGTGCCATGGTTGAGCTGGGGTGAGGGTCTGGAACCGAACATGGACGACAACAGCTAGCCACATCTTTCAGTCTCAGGGTGGCCTGAAGCTTTGGTCTGTATTCCTTCCCCCAGAAAATGGGAGGGTTGAGTAGATTTAATGGCTGCCTACCATAGAATGCCACCAGAGAAAGGCCTCATTGTACCCTAGTAGGAAGTGTGTCATTCTGGAAGCTGAGTGTCATTTGAGACACAGTTCTTCACGGCTGTGTCCAGGTTCAGAACTTGATAGAAATAGGGGACGTCACTGGTTCCTCAGTTTGCGCATGGGAGCTTGAAGGTGAACAATACTGGGAGCACAAAGGTGGTTTAAGAATGACCTTGATCATGAATTGAAAATCTGTTCTTCAGAAGTTGTGTGGACGATTTAAAATTTCCCAGAGTGTGAGGAGTACTGAACACTGTTCTTGTTTAAATCATGAGTACATATTTAAGACAGGCTGGGAATAATTTTGATGAGCTGCTTTGAAGTGGAAAACAAACCTATTTTTTTATGATAACCTCTTAAAAGAAAAAAATAATAAGCTTAACCTGTAGACCAATGTTAAGAAAAAGCCAATCAGGACTCAGAGGTTAAGAGCACTTACCGCTCTGCCAGAGATCATGAGTTCATTTCCCAACATCCATGTCAGGCAGCTCACGACTGCCTGTAACTCCAGCCCCAGGGAATCCAGTGTCGTCTTCTGACTTTCCACACACATACACATAAATAAAAATAGAAAAGAGAATTCTTAAAAAAAACAAAAAGAAAAGTCAGCCAATTCTCCCCCCCTACCCCGTAGTAATTGAATAAATGAATATGCTATTGAGGAAAGAAGACTTTGTTGGGAAATTTCTTTAGCTTGGGAAGCTGTCCCATGTCCTCATTATATAGGTATTTGTCTTAGTTAGGGTTTTATTGCTGTCAAGAAACACTGTGACCGGCTGGGCGGTGGTGGTGCACGCCTTAAATCCCAGCACACGGGTGGCAGATCTTAGTGTTTTCGAGAACAGCCTGGTCTACAAGATCTAGTTCGAGGACAACCTCGAAAGCCACAGAGAAACCCTGTCTTGAAAAACCAACGCGCCCCCCCCCCCAAAAAAAAAAAAAGAAAAAGAAAGAAAAAAAGAAAGAAAGAAAGAAACACCATGACCACAGTCTCTCAGACAGGAAAACAGTTCATTGGGGCTGGCTCATAGTTTCAGAGGTTTAGTCCGTTGTCATCATGGTTGGAAGTATGTTGGCATACAGGCAGACATGGTATTAGAGAAGGAGCTGAGAGTTCTATGTCTTGATCTACAGGAAGCTGAAGGAGACTGTGTGCCATACTGGACATAGTTTGAGCATAGAAGACCTCAAAGTCTGCCCCCACAATGACACACTTCCTCCAACAAGGCCATACCGCCTAATAGTGCCTTTCCCTATGTGCCAAGCTTTCAAACACAGGAGTCTTATGGGAGCCATTCCTATTCATAACACCATAATATTCAAACAAATCCATAAAAAATTTTAGTCTTGAATTTTGATTATAAGTTATGCTTTATAGAAAAGTATAAGAAATGTACAAAGGAAAATTTTAGCCAAGACTTCATTGGGTCATAATGGATTCAGGTAAAGCTTGATGGCTTTGGTCTTTAGTGGTCAGAAGGTACTATGAGATGGTTTTTCAGGATGTGGCTCACACACACTACAGGAGAGTTGACCTTAACTAAAAAACAAGTGGTCGCCACTCAGTAAGTATTTTTTCTTGGAAGATAACATTGCTTTAAAAATTTTTTGGAAAAAAATAGCAACTTAAAGGAAAATTTGGTTGTCCTCATGAACTGAAGTTTGAGACATGCTGCCTCAACTAGTCACTCACTGTGTGTTTTCTATTCATTCAGCAACGGGTAATGACCTGCTTCAGAGCCTGGGAAGATTGGGCAATCTATCCAGAACCATTTTTGATCAAACTTCAAAATATTTTCTTAGGACTTGTAAATATCATTGAAGAAAAGGAAACAGAGGTAGGTATTCTATACTTAAACATTGTTCTGGGGACAATGGAAGAATTTGTGATTTATTAATAGAAAACATAATATACAGAAGGCCCTCAGCTAACAAGGGGTTCTTCATAAGCTTACTGTAAATAAACTTCATTAAGTTGAAGATACATTGAGGGCCTAGTCTACCTTGAATATAACTTAAATTAGAACTTAAATTAGCCTATAGCTAGGCAAAAATGATCTAACAGGAAACCCAGTTTTAAAGAAAGTATTGAGTACTCATTTAACTTACTGAAGACACATCCAAAAAGTGATGGCAATGAAACACTGTAGATAGATATTATTTGTCAATGTGATCAGATGGATGACTGGTGCCCATAGCTAAGTGCCACTGCCCAACATCATGTAAACATCATACTGTATATCACTACCCTAAGAAAAGATCAAAATTTGAAGTACAGTTACTACTGAATGTGTGTTGTGTTGCATCATTGCTAATTTTTAAAAAGTGTAAGTCAGATCATCAAGAGTTGGGAATTGTCTATGTATAAAAACTTCCATTTTGTTAAAGTTAGCTCAGAGAGTAAACATAAACTTGGAAGATGGAGCATGATGGTACCAAAATGGCTTTGTAAATTTTTCATCTTCATTTCTTGTAGTAATTATGATTCTCTTTGTTGGTGAATTGAGGTCATTCATGTTTAAGGTTATTACTGGGAAAGGTTTCTTAATTGTTATAATCCTAATAGTTGCCCCCCCCCCCCCCGCCCCGTTTGTTTTTTACTTTCTCCCCTCTTAGGATCAGGGTTTGCTGGTTTATCAGGTTGAATATGATAGATTCTTTCCTGTCTTTTCTTTGTTTATCCAGTTCTCTCGAAAAATTTTCATTCCTGGCTCTCGTGATTAAGACTGTCTTCCTTTTCTTGTATAGTATTTAATGTCTTTTGCAATGCTGGCTTGGTGCTTATGAACTGCCTTAGTTATGCATGTCTTGAAATGTTCTTAATTCTGAGTATTTAAAAGACAAGTTTGCTGGGTATTGCACTCTTGGTTGCATCATTGCCTGCTCTCCTGCTTTGGGAGTGCTGAGAGATACATTAACTCTGATACTTCTGCCTCTGTAGGTGAGTTGACATTTTGCCTTATAGCTGCTTTGCTTTGTATTTTAATGTCTTGACCATGTATACCACAGAGAGGTTTATCTGGTCATGTCTGTTGGGTTTCTAAGTAACTTTTGTGTTAAAAAGAAAAAAATCTCTGGATTTGTGAATTTTTCCATTCCTAAATTTCATTGAATCAGTTAATTCCCTGTGTTTTTAGTGCTTAACTAAACTTCTCCTATATCCCAGGGATGATTAGGTTTGGCTATTGGCATGTCCTAGAGTTCTTGGATGTCTGTGGTCTTGGTTGCTTATTCATTTGTTTTCCTTATTGATATTTGAGTGTAGTATTTCATCCACTCTGTCCTCCATACCAGATGTTCTTAGTTCTACTGAGGAGTCTACTGTTTTGTTTTATGTATATGGGTATTTTGCCTGCATGTGTGTATGTGTACCACATGGATGCATGGTGCCATAGAGATCAGACAAAAGGATCAGATCCCCTGGTACTGAGGTTCCTGATGGTTGTGAGCCACCATGTGGGTGCTGAGAATTGAATCCAGGTTTTCTTGCAAGAGCAAGTGTTCTTCACCTTTGAGCATTGAGTCATCTCCAAAGTCTCCTCTCTTCCCCCAGACCTAAAAAACAAAACAACCCCTCCACCCCTTTTAACTTTTTTTTTTTGTTTGTTTCTTGAGACATGGTTTCTTCCTAGCTGTGTAGATCAGACTGGCCTTGAACTCACAGATCCGCCTGCCTCTGCCTCCCAAGTGCTGAGATTGCAGACGTGCAGGCATGTACTTGGCACAGCTCATGAGGAGAGCCCAGACCATTTTCGACATTAGTCAGTTTCTCTTATTCACCTTACTTTTTTCAGGGATTGAACTCAGGTTGTTAAGCCTATGTGTGTGCAAGTGTCTCACTTGCCATACCATCTTGTAGCTCACTACTGTAAATTTTGTTTCATGGAGGTTTTCATTTCTAACATTTCTAATTTTTTCAGTCCATATTGTTAACCTTGTTAATTTTTCTGTCTGTTGCTGACTCTCCTTTAGTTTCTGATTTGTATCATTTGTTATTTTTATATGAAAACTTTGCAAAGTTTCTTCTGATTTAACTTATATTAGTATCTGAGTGTCTTAGTCGAGGACTTAGGATCTTTGGGAGGTCCTTCACTTTCATCTTTTCCATGTAGCCTGTGCTTCTGTAGGTTTGGCTGTGCTTACAGGTTTTGTAGTAGGGAGTCTTATCGAGCAGCCTTCTTTTGAGGGCTCAGTCTCCAGTTTAGGTGAGGTTAAAGGAATTGTTTTTGGAAGCCAGGAACTATACTTTGAGCTGCACACATATTTGATTGTTTCTTTCTAGGATGTTTTCACTTTCTTCATGGATTTTCCTGACTCTACTTCACCAATTGGTGAGGAGACAGATACTTTTTTTTTTTTTTTTTTTTTTTTAACCATCTTCTTAAAAATCTTGTTTCAGTTTCTTCAGTGTACAGTGTTCCTCCTGCTACTGGCTTTGTACATATTATTCTTTCTGGACCTTGTGTCTTATCTGATCTCAGCCTAACTTTAACTTCAGGGGACCTTCCTACTTCTTTAAGTGAAATTTAATTATTAAATAGTATAATAAGATGGTGTACCCTGTTAATCTATTGTTCTGATATATTTCTTTTTTAAACAACAAAACCTTTACTAAGCTCTTTGACATGAAAACCAAACCTGATTTTGTTCATCCTTTTGTCACATGCTACCAGGCACCAATAATAAGCACTTAGTACCTATTAGGTAAATAATGTATAGTTAATTACTACCTTAGCAGGGTTTACATTGTGTCTGGAAATAAGGATCTCCAGCCACATTGATTTGTCCTGGATTTTAAGTTATCTAATAGTGAGAGAGTTAAGCAAGTCAGGAAAACATTACAGTAGTGCATGTTTCTGTAGGATGTGCCGGATGATCTTGATGGTGCTCCCATTGAGGAAGAGCTTGATGGCGCACCGCTGGAAGATGTGGATGGAATTCCCATTGATGCTACTCCCATTGATGATCTTGACGGAGTCCCTATAAAAAGTCTTGATGATGATCTTGATGGAGTGCCTTGTAAGTTCATATTTCAAACATTAGGACTAACAGGTTTAACTGACAAAATGCTTTAATTTTTGCACATGATGTTCTGTTCTGGAGAAATGTTTTAATTTTTGGGTATGTCAAGTCACCTTTTCTGACCTTTTAAAACTCAGGTATTTAGCAATATGTTTGACTATGGCAAGGAAAGGGCTTTATTGTTGTTGTCTTTCTTTTTTTGGAACTGTCACTCTCCTGTAATAATAGTTTTTTCTTTTCTGTCTCAGTTGTCTGAAAGCCATAGGCAACATCTTGTGTTTGTTTCATAGTCATAACGTCACATGCCCAATGT